TTCGTGGCTTTTGTTTGTGACACAATTTCTTTTCCACGAGTCAGTCTCGGGACTTTTGTTTTTGGCACAAATTCTTTCACGAGTCAAACTCGTGGTTATATGCCAAAGGGTTAACGCTCCGCTATTATTCCTTTTAAATTCGAGAATCTGATTGTCATTGCGCTTAGTAACTTTATCTCCCATATGACACTGCACATAACTAGTCCTCAGAGTGATTCTATAAGGTATTTTCTCTCTCCTTTCCGCATGCCTTCGTGGTGTTATTGGAAGCATACTTGATGCGTATTTGAGAGGTCTAGGGTTCGAATCCTAGCAAGGATACTGATTTTTGACGGCTCCCTCTTAGAAAAGAAAAGAAAAGAAAAAAAAAACACCCTAATGACTCTACAAGTGGCGCTTTAACTAAAACGGGGAGGATGATAATTCGTCACCACCAGGGTTTGGCGACTTCGTACTCTAATCCTCCGTTGGCTTTTAAAAGGGGAGTATATAAGCTATTTTCTTCCTCTTTTCCGCACGCCTTCATGGTGTAATTGGAAGTATACTGGACACATATTCGAGAGGTCCAGGGTTCGAGACACGGCGAGGGTACTGCACATTTTTCACGTCTTAAAAATCAAAAGTCTTAATGCCTCGACAATTGTATGCAACAAAGGCCTAAGCTTATTAATTTATTTCTCAAACATAATTTTATCTGTAACTGCTTAACAAACTGAACGATTTTACAGAGAAAATGTTAATAACTTAAAATTTTACGTTTAATAACTAAATGCTTTGTAGAGAAAAAGTTTAGTGTTGTTGTCAAGCAGAAGAGAAGCAAAATGGGCCAATGCCTTCGCCGGAATTCGAATCTGGACCCCTCACATATGCACCGAGTGTGCTACAGTTACACCACGAATGCATTCGTGAAGGAGGGAGAAAATTCCTTGTATACTCCCCCTTTTAAAGAGCGATTGGTTATTAGGGGCCCATTCGCCAAATCCTGGTGGTCACGAATTATTGTACACTACCATTTACTTCGAGCATCATTTGTAGGGTCATTAAGTTTTTTTGAAGCAAACGTTAAAATGGGCAAAGCCCTTTTCGGGATTTGAACCCTGGACCCCTCGAATACGCGCCGAGTGTGCTACGGTTATATCACGAAGGCATGCTGGAAGGAGGGAGAAACTATCTTGTATTTTAATCTATAAGTTTATAACTCAAATCTTTATTTCATTTTCTATACACCGTAAAATGCTGACAGCGCACTGGTCGCAAATAAGAAAAAGTGTTCTAGGAACATATAACGGAAAACACAGTCTACAAATTACTTTCCACCAGTGACATTGAATAACAACAAGTGGACCCAGCTTTGTCCCAAAGAAGTTCGCCAAACACCGACAGTGTATTCTCTGACCAAAGATAGATAAAAACTAGTCTATGAATCTTATGACCAAAACACATAATTTACAAGTTAAGGCTAGCTAACTATTTTGTGCAGAATGCTGTGACTGGTTGGATAATACTTCCAACAGGCTGCCTGAATTCGTAAAACAGGAAACTAGATGTGATGCCACATGGGATGTTCAGCGAACAAGAATGTGGAGGTACGTATCATCTTGCTACTGAAATTCAGTGCTCGTAACTGGTAAACTAAGCTTTTATAACTACATGTTCATGTTGCATGTTTTACTTCTGTTCGCTCATAGCATGCACTCCTTGTGTTTGGGACTTAGTTTTGGATTATTGTGTATATAACTGACGTAATTTATAAAGCATATAATTGATACTTTTTAGGAACATGTTGAGCATTATTATAGTTTTAAAAAGATGTGTTTGTATTTCTGCAACGTACGCTACGTACCTCGATATTAAACAGTTTAGTTTTCAGTTTCAGGGTTTTGTATATTAAAGTTGTTGATAGTTTCTGAATTATTATTTATTCAGTACAAATAATTAATAAGATAAAGTGCTAGAATAATTAGCATCCAGAAAATGGCAGACAGAATATATCTTTATAATGCATGCTACAGACGGAAACTGAATGCATATTAATTTTACAAACACTACGTTAATTATTGTAGTTATTTGCATTTTGTTGTAATATTACTGGCGATTAAAATTTTGTAGAAAATTTTTAAAAATTTTACAGATGACATGAGATAATTTCTCAGATATCAGAAAATGTACAGTAATATTTCGGAAAAGATCTGTTATAATTTTTTATCCAGTTCTTAATAGAAAGTAAATTTATTCTCATATTGTAAACAAGTTACAAAATAATTGATTAAATTGAATACATTTTTGAAAATTTTGAAAAATTACAGAAATTTAAATTTTGAGCTCCTTACAGTTTTGATATTACATTGTTTCACACATTTGGTGTTTGAAAGAAATTTTATCATAGCGGACTAATATTGCCCTCTCTATGGTTTTTAAGATGATATTTTATTATAATTTGAAATAAAAATTAAAAATTAGTCACTATAACTTAAAAGTATTTTTGTTTCATAACTTATCTAAACAATGTAAAATATAAACATATCTAAACAAAAATAAATATCTAAACAAAATATAAACACATCTAAACAAAAATAAATATCTAAACAAAATATAAACATATCTAAACAAAAATAAATATCTAAACAAAATATAAACATATCTAAATAAAAATAAATATCTAAACAAAATATAAACATATCTAAACAAAAATAGTCACTATAGGGTTAAAAGTACTTTTGTTTTATAACATATCTAAATATATTTCGATGCTGCTTAAAAGCAAAATGAAACAGCTATCAGGTAACAGGAACTGCAACATGAGAAGCACGAGGGGGACAGAATCTGTTTCGAAGAGGGAGTGAGGGAAATCGCTTGACAGATTTTGGCGAAGAGGACAGCATGCTGGGGTTGGGGGGAAAGAAGAACAACTGCCCATAATTGGTCCATAAATAACAGGGCTCCCGCGATTTCCAGCCCCGTTATTAAATCTCTGCGAAGTGGCCCCTTCAGCGAATAATTGGCTGATTGAAAGGAGAGTTCGTCCGAGGGGAACTGTTGCTCAGCATTTAACAAGGCACCAAATCTCTCGTTAGAATTAAAAAAACAAATAGGCCATCACGTCAACGCTGTCAAATTATGACTCACTTGGAAGTCTAAAAATCACCCAAGCAGCTAGGCTTCAATTCCGAAAATGTATTTAATTTTGCACTAATTCGTATTTTGATTTGCAAACTTTAGTTTAAAATAGTCTACGAAAACGGAGATGTAAGAGTAAATATTTGGAAAACCGGAAACATCTACTAATGTTGAAAAACATTGTTGTTTATTGGATGCTGCATTTTTTTAAAATACATTTTGCTTTAAATAGTTTACGTTTCTGACTGGTTTGAAGTGAATACCCACAAATCTAACCGTTCCGTGTATAAGGTATTTCCCCCAGCTTCTTCGCATGCGTTCGTGATGTGGTGGTCTGTATGCTGGGCGCATATTCCAGAGGTCCGTGGTTCGATTCCCGGCGAAGGCGTTGCTAATTTTTCATCTTCCCTGCTTCCAAAAAAACCTAATGTCTCTACAAGTCCGTGGTGATCTGTACCCTGGGCGCGTATTCCAGAGGTTCGTGGTTCGATTCCCGGCGAAGGCGTTGCTAATTTTTCATTTTCCAGAAATACCTAATGTCTCTACAAGTGTAGGCAATATATGAGTTCGCAATATTTAATAAATAGGACAGTTTCATTTTTAATACAAATTCCATTTAAATGCTATTGAGAAAATACAGTTTGTAGAACCATTAGGTTTTTTAAAGCAGAACGTATAAAAAATGTGCAGTGTCCTTGCCAGGATTTGAATACCGTACCTCCCAATTTTCAGCCGGCCGTACCCCAAACGCACTCGGTAAAGAGGGAGAAAATATCTTGTACGTTTATAGTAGGATATGCTGAAATGATGTAAATAATATTTTCTGTATGAAGAACTCATGAAATATATTTTAGTTTTATCAAGATAACAGGTACTATAATAAAATTAGAGGCATTACTTTGCGACTGCTCTCTGGACATCTACTGAGCTTCTATTCTACTATCTAATCAATTTTACTGTGTCGGCGACTTGACACCTGGACTAGAAATAAAAGTTTTACAACTGCACACTAAAATCAACTTGGTATTTATTAAATTACAGCTTCTAGTACAAAACATAAAATACAATGTACACAATAATAATATTACTCCTAAGTGACACTAAATTTATTATTAGATTGCAGAGATATTAGGATTTTTTTGGAAGCAAGAGAGAAATTAAAAAATTAGCAATGCCTTCGCCGGGAATCGAACCGCGGACCTCTCAGTTACGCGCTGAGTGTGCTGACCACTACCCCACAAAGGCTTGCTAAGAAAGCGAGAGAAATACCTTATATACTCCCCTTTTAAAGGGCGATTGAGGTTTTAGGAGTGCTCTGATTTGATAAGTGTATATATTTATTTACTCAATAATTATTTACAAGAATTGCTCATTCAACTATTTTATGATCAACTGTATAGATAGGACTATCTTTCAAAGCTGTTGGATATTGTTTTTACTCATCTAGTATTTTATCATTTTATTTTATTATTCTGTTTACATAAAATAAAGGCGTTTCATTACTGGAAAACTTAAAAGTTACTATTCTGTTTACGATTAAAAATCATATCTTAGTGTTTTCATTGCCGCTAAAAAAATTCGCCAAATTTTGAAGGCCAAAATAATTTGGCGCCAACTTATTCCGCTTATGGAATACTACTAGTGTCTGTAATCATTTAAAATTCATTACGTAATCATTATATGGATTTATCTGAGAAGTAAAATGACAGCACATATTCTCATACCAAACAAACGAACAAGATAAAAAGAACATTAAATTTGAAAATGCATTTATTTAGATACTGCTTTACAAAACATTCGGTTCTTTAAAAATTCCGAGGAATATCTTACAAACAGTTTTAACATGGAGCAACCCATACGGCAATGAATAAAATTTCACTTACCTGTCTTAACTTGATACTTGAGAGTCTCCTTGCAATCGACAAGAAGTTGATCAAGATTAACGGGATCATCATTGATTTTCAGGTCGAATATCTCCTTCAGTTGCTGAGGTTGATGGAAATCCAAGATCTTAGCTGACCTGTCATTAGACTTCGTTACGAAGTCCATCAAGATTTCAAACACTTCATGGAGAAAAGCTCGTGTCACTTCTTCAGAATCCTTTCTTCCGAGAGGATAAAGATCTATAAAAGTATATAAATGTGCTAAAATAAAGTATTCAAAGTTTCGTGATAATTCAAATAATTGTTATAATATCATAAAAAGATATTATTGAAAGTTTGAGGTTTCTACGCAATTTATGATGCGTTAAGTCGAAATTGTGTTAGATTTTCTCAATGTCCTTCCCCCCCATTAGATTAAAAAGCGAAATGTGAATACTAAAAGTCCTATTAATGTTTTAAATAACTTTTTACTTTAACTTGAATTTAAACAGAAGCTTTGTTTATGTGAGTATCGTTTGCTTCATTTTATTGTTGCAAACAGCGTAAATTCCTTTTGTTTTTCTTCCTTTAGTTTTGAACTTTGTGTGTGGCAACAAAATAATTGATTTGATAGAATTGTGTTTGTGACAGCCATGTAAAATGGCTCGCTTATTTTGTATCAATGACATCGCTGACATCATATTTATAATTAGTATAATGAAATAAAAGTGAAGGAATAGAGTCCATGTGTTACGTATTTATTGTTGTGAAACATATAAAGTTAAGATAATTTACTAAGCACCACTTATACGTGAAAAACAAAACTCCGCAGCTTGCGGTGAGTAAAATAACATAGTTGAACGCCATTAATACGATAGTTGTTCTTTATTCTGTTCATCAATTCCAATTCCCTACGACTTTTTCCTGAAAATTAAAGTAAACCTAAAAGAGAAAAGATTTAGCTCTCCAAACGAACTGTAGGAAGAGTCAAAACCAATATTTAATGCCGTAGTAAAAGCTGATTTCCCGAATACTTTCCAGTTGTGGAAACAGCACTGGTACAAAATTGAACAAAACTGCTGACGAAGTAATAGCATTAAGATCAGTAATAAAATATAAAGGGGAATTTTTTAACAGAAGTAGGAATCACGTGGTATTTATGTTGTCTCTTAGAAAATGTAAATTATATACTTCAATTAAAGATAAAAATCAAATGTTGCATTTTATCTCTTTTACGCTGTACTGTTGGGCACTCAATTTTGCACTGCCATTGATACTTGTAAATTTGATAATACATTTTATCTATCTGATAAGCCTTAAGTATGCTTGTATATAAGTATACTAGCTGATATCCGCCCGCTTTTCTGGGCACGCTATCTATTTGAATGTGAACCTAGACTTCTTATACGGACGAAATGTCTAATTTCGAATAGATAATTAATGTAAATTTTTCAAAGCCGGCAGTCAGTGAATCTGTCATACACAGATTTCCCATCACCCATGAGGTATTGTATACTGGGATGCGTCCTCATTATTTAACGTGGCGAAATCCCCAATAGGCCTACACCACGAAAAATTTCCAACATAAATCTAAGGTTTATATATATTTAACTGTTATCATAAGTTTCATGAAAATAAATGCTATTATTTTTGTTATCAAACATTTTAATCAATTACAATTATTTGTCCTTGATTTTTTATGTATGGCAATCTTTATAAATAACAACAACATTTTTAGTTTTCATCAAAATAACTTATTTCTTAAAATAACATTTATTTCATAAATTCGATAACAATTAAATATAAATGTATTTAACTTATTATTAAATGTTGTTTGTATTATTGGATAGAGCAAGTATTTACCAATTTAATCATTTAAAGGAACTACATCATGGCAGCTTGTATTTCATATCTAGATTTGGCAACAATAAAAGAAAATTCTGAAACTTGAATTTGAAACCAAATGTATGAGAAATTTCTATTGTATAGCAAAAATCCATTCTGGATAGGTTTTACGTAAAATCCGTTCTTAGAGCGCGTCTACATCGTGGAATGAGTAACTATGCAAACTTCAATCTGGTGTATAGTTTCGGAAATCTCGTGAGTAGTCAGTGGTATTTCGCTTATATTATATATTTATATAGTATTTATTTATTACTACTATCGCAACGCTTTGATCTACAGTTTACCGTACATGTAGTTTCTCTGCGAGAGCACTACGTAAGCAGAGAAAAAAGCTCATATATTTTATTTCTCATAACATTCATAAACAATCCACGAACTAGCACTTTGAAAATGCAACCTTACTACTATCGCAACGATTTTATCTACACTTCATATCGTACATCTAGCTTTTCTGCGAGAGCACTACTCAAGCAGAGAAAAAAGCTCATATATTCCATTTCTCATAACGTTCATAAACAATCCACGAACTAGCCCTTTTAAAATGCAACCCTACTACTATCGCAATGCTTTTATCTACACTTTACTGTACATCCAGCTTTTCTGCGAGAGCACTACTCAAGCAGAGAAAAAAGCTCATGTATTCCATTTCTCATAACGTTCATAAACAATCCACGTACTAGCACTTTGAAAGTGCAACCATACTACTATCGCAACGCTTTGATCTACAGTTTACTGTAATCTCGCTTCTCTTCGAGAGCACTCGAAGCATAGAAAAAAGCTCATGTATTCCATTTCTCATAACGTTCATAACAATCCCACTAGCACTTGAAAGGACAACCTTACTCTATCGCAACGCTTTGATCTTTTTCTTTACATCTAGCTCTCTTCGAGAGCACTACTAAGCAGAGAAAAAGCTCATTATTCATTTCTCAAGTTCATAAACAATCCACGTACTAGCACTTTGAAAGTGCAACCTTACTACTATCGCAACGCTTTGATCTACAGTTTACTGTACATCTAGCTTCTCTTCGAGAGCACTACGTAAGCAGAGAAAAAAGCTCATGTATTCCATTTCTCATAACGTTCATAAACAATCCACGTACTAGCACTTTGAAAGTGCAACCTTCTACTATCGCAACGCTTTGATCTACAGTTTACTGTACATCTAGCTTCTCTTCGAGAGCACTATGCAAGCAAAGAAAAAAGCTCATATGTTCTATTTCTCATAACATTTATAAACAATCCACGAACTAGCACTTTGAAAATGCAACCTTACTGCTAATTGCAACGCTTTGATCTATAGTTTACTGTACATCCAGCTTCTCTGCAAGAGCACTACGCAAGCAGAGAAAAAAAGCTCATATACACAAACCCGAGGCACTTTCGTTATCTCACAGTGCAGACCCTGCTGGGAGACTCCTGTAGTTATGAAAGGTCTAATAATCCCCCCTCCCGTTCCCTTAGAAGAGGCAGCCGGGAGCTATGACGAGTATTTAGATAACAGTGAGCCTTTTAATCCAGTAGCTCAACGGACTCCAAAGTGATTTGTACTCGCATTTTTTCCCCCGTTTCTTCATTTTTGGGACCCGGGGGAACTTTTGGTTGCTTTCATGGATATCTCTGACGACCAGAAGTTGTTTGACGTTTAGGCTAGCATTTTCACAGCCCCTAAGAGTGAGCTTTGCATTTTGAAGTTTACAAATTTACATAGGTAGCTATATTTCTTTCAGACATCTTTGGATTTGCTTTATTAATTAACTTTAAAGAAATTTATAAAAAATATCCATTTAAATCATTAATTTAACTTAAAGCAATGACTCAAACGTTAATATGTCACTGCGTGAAGCTCAAATTTAGTAAAAGATGCATAACCCTTTTTAATTATTATATTAAGTTTTACTGAAGGTAATAAACCGTATTTCATTACGTAGCGTTAAACCCTAAAATAACAGATAACAAATGATAATTTTTTAGCTGAACTTAATTGAAGATAAGATATAAATGATCAAGAATGGTAAGAAAGCCATTAAGAGTTAAATTACAAAAAACTAATATTTTCCATGATATTCGTTAAATTATTTTACCCCAAATCACTAACACCAAATTAACCTAAGTTTACACCAAATCGCTAAACATATCCAAAATCAGGAACAATAATAAAAAACATGAATTTTTTTTAATGTGGTAAACTCTTGACATCTTAAAATCGATAGGAGACATTAAATTTGTTCAAGAAAAACAGTGTTGCCAAGAAAAACAATAGAAATCTTACCATAATTAATTGAGAATTTATAGCATTTGAGTGTTATACCGACCTAAAATGAGGCATTGTCACAGTAGATCGTACTAAACAAAATTTTAAAAATCTGATGTGTACACCACAAGACTTCCTTGTGCGGAATATTAAATTATACGCATTATTTCTTGCATTTCATTTAAACTTATTGGATTGAATTAAATCTACATGGTCTATAGCGCATAAACCACAATAGAATAAATGCACTCTTTAAAATTCATTCTATTTCTTTACCATACCGACACTCTGGCTCTAGGTTCACTTAATAGCGTTATATTTCGTTCAAATTATAACTCAGAATGCACAAAATTTATATCATTTGAAGAATTATCTAATCATTTCCCCATGTTCTATTCAAATACTAGAACGATGTATAAAAGAAATTAAGGAAACAAAACAAAAAACAAACAGACTTTCATAGACAGTTTAATACTTCTCATTCAATTCAGTTCTCACTTCGCGACAAGGCACAAATACATAATAACTCAAAATATCTACATTGAAAATTACGAAGTAAATCATAAAACCGTTAATTTCTCGCAAAAAAATTCCAGAAAGGATTAAGCATGATATAATTCGCAATAATAAATGAAAGCGTTATCTTTGTGTTTGCAAAGCTTAGTCTCTCTCTAGATTGACAACAAATCTACTATTCTGCTATTTCGAATGTAAACAAACATGTCCGCTCTGTTATTTAAAAATTAGGCTTAACCGCACTTAAACAGTTTTTAAACTGTTGAGAATTCTACAAATATTGCTTGCGGATTTACTAAAGGCATAAAAACCTTAACCCGAAGATAAAAACAACATAATTCAATTTTTTTAAAGCAAAAGAACGCATAATTTACAAACATATAAGAGTAAAGAAACTGAGATCACTGAGCCAGGTAACAGTGTGGATATATATATTTATATACTTTTGGTTCGGCCGATTGCAACCAAAATACGAGGTGCACATCTACATGTTATAGGAGTCCTATATACAAAATTTCAACGTTTTGAGGTTACTCGTTTTTGAGTTATGCGAGATACATACGTATACATACGCCATGAAACATTC